TCACGTTCTGCTTATTCTAGATTTTCTACCTGAAGGGTACCTTAAAATCCATCAATGAGAAAATGCTCCGTAATTAACTATAAGATTCTGTAGCTAATCCTCAATTATAGATATTTACTTTTAATTTTAACTTTTAAGGAAAATTAGTTAATTGAAGTATTGCCTTGACATGAACATTAGTGTCTTCTCTTCATCCACAGAATAGTTACAGAATGGGCTGAGTGGAAATATACATTTCCCCCACATCACTCTTCAAATAACTCTCAGTCCTGGTGGCCTCAAGGGAAGGCAAGTTGATCTCTAGGACCCATTCATCGTGATATAGATTCCTATCTATTATTAAAGGAATTGAAACCAAAATTGTTCTATGGTCTAACATCTGCAGTTAACTTTCAACCTCTGCCAACCTGTACTGATCTGAACCAGTAACCTAGAGGTGTGTCCCTGTGTTCCATTACCAGTTTCATGAGCCATTCAGCATTCCACCATAATAATGCTATTACCCAAAGACTTCCACTGTTTCGCTAGGCATTGGTTTTATTGAAGCTTTAGTCAGAGTTTAAGCAAGGCCAATAGCTTCTTCTCCTGGTTACATAAGAACAGCCGTACTGGGTCAGACCAAAGGTCCATCTAGCCCAGTATCCTGTCTTCTGACAATGGCCAATGCCAGGTACCCCAGACAGAATGAACAGAACAGGTATCATCAAGTGATCCATCTCCTGTCACCCATTCCCAGCTTCTGTCAAACAGAGGCTAGGGACACCACCCTTGCCCATCCTGGCTGATAGCCATTGATGGACCTATCCTTCACGAACTTATCTAGTTCTTTTTTAAACCCTGTTGTAGTCTTGGCCTTCACAACATCCTCTACAAAGAGTTCCACAAGTTGACTGTGTGTTGTGTGTGTAGAAATACTTCCTTTTGTTTGTTTTAACCCTGCTGCCTATTAATTTCATTTGGTGACCCCTAGTTCTTGTATTATGAGAAGGAGTAAATAACACTTCCTTATTTATTTACTTTCTCCACACCAGTCATGATTTTATAGACCTCAGTCATATCCCTCCTTAGTCGTCTCTTTTCCAAGCTGAAATGTCCCAGTTTTATAAATCTCTCATATGGAAGCCGTTCCATATCCCTAATAATTTTTGTTGCCCTTCTCTGAACCCTTTCCAATTCCAGTATGTCTTTTTTGAGATGGGGCGACCACACCTGCATGCAGTATTCAAGATGTGGGCATACCAAAGATTTATATACAGCCAATATGATATTTTCTATCTTATTAATTATCCCTTTCTTAATGATTCCCAACATTGTTAGCTTTTTTGATTGCCGCTGCACATTGAGTGCATGTTTTCAGAGAACTATCTACAATGACTCCAACATCTCTAACAGCTAATTTAGACCCCATCATTTTATATGTATAGTTGGGATTATGTTTCCAATGTGCATTACTTTGCATTTATCAACACTGAATTTCATCTGCCATTTTGTTGCCCAGTCATCCAATTTTGCGAGATCCCTTTGTAGCTCTTCGCAGTCTGCTTTGGACTTAACTATCCTGCATGGTTTTGTATCATCTGCAAATTTTGCCACCTCACTGTTTACCCCTTTTTCCAAGTCGTTTATGAATATGCTGAATAGTATTGGTCCCAGTGCTGACCCCTGGGGGACACCACTATTTACCTCTCTCCATTCTGAAAACTGACCAATTATTCCTACCCTTTGTTTCCTATATTTTAACCAGCTGCTGATCAATGAGATGACCTTCCTTCTTATCCCATGACAAATTTACTTTGCTTAAGAGCCTTTAGAGAGGGACTTTCTGAAAATCTAAGTACACTATATCCACTGGATCCCTCTTGTCCACATGCTTGTTGACCCCCTCAAAGAATTCTAGTAGATTGGTGAGGCATGATTTCCCTTTACAAAAACCATGTTGACTCTTCCCCAACAAATTATGTTCATCTATGTGTCTGACAGTTCTATTCTTTACTATAGTTTCAACCAGTTTACCCAGTAATGAAGTCAGGCTCACTAGCCTGTAATTGCCAGGATCTCTTAGTACAGCTCAAGTAGCTTTTTCCCCCGCATCACAAGAGGCAAGTTTGGACTTTGAGGTGACTGCAAAATCTAGTCGGGGAAAAGGTGAAGGCCTGCTAGGCTAGCTATCCCAGGTACTAGAACCTTCCTAAAAAGCTGGGGTGGGGTGGGGCTGAGGATCACGACAGTAGATCTTCCTGGATAGCCTTTTAAAAATAAAGATTTTAAATACTTCAGAGTATTTAAATTGCATTGTAAGCCCAGAGCAGTTCAGATATCTCTGTAATCATTCAAACTCACTCAGAGACCTGTTCTGACAGTTTGCAAGCTATAGCTCAAGAAAGAAGTGTCACTCCCTTACTAGGAAAAAGTGGCTCTCTCCTGTCCTTGCTATTACCCCATGAAGTCACTGTGACACATAGTAGAAGTTCATGGGTTTACAAGCGATCTGAAGAGTCCAGAGATCTTGATGACTGGCTTTGTTTTTCTAATAAGTAAAGTGGAAACAGGCTTGTATTGGATAAAATCACATGTTAAGGGCTGCAGGTGCTTCTTCACACAGCACAACATATTTCCCAGGAGACTCTGTGACAGCTTGCAGAAGCCAGAGTTATGTCAGACTACCATGTGTCTTTAGACAAATTGATTACCTTGATATATTCCAGCTAAATCTGCATTTTGTATCCTGAAACTGGATTACAGGCAGCACTGACTGTATGGAGAGGAGGACTAGCCAACATCATCCTGTAGGATTTCTTTTTGGGCTACAGATAATGGCCCAGAACATTAAGATCTCCATTTCAGTTCTGCCCAGATTCTAGGCTAAAAAAAATCTCACTTGGTCTCTAGTTCACTTTTACAATTTGGTTAGTCTCCCATTTTAATGCCCAGCTGCAAGCAAGAGTCTTCAGTGAAGAAGAAAGAAAAAGGTAAAATCTATGCAAAACAAAGTTCCCCAGTAAATAATGAACAAATCACCTGAAAACAGAATATAGAAGAAAAGGTTTTCATAAGATTTCCAAGGCACCACCACACTGTGCTAGCAAACAGAAGCTTCACAACTTTACCATCCCAACTAAATATACCTCTCTGCTGCTTCAATAGCCACAACAGACAGCACCAGCTCAAACCTATGCACAGCCTTCTACTGCATTCACTACATTTACATGCACTCCAACTATCCACTTTGCCACCTATTTAGATTATTTTAAATTTGAGCAGTTTCTTAACCTTCTATGATACTACAGCACACAGCTATTTCCTTCACCTCACTTTCCCCTTTCTCCACTGACATTAATGCTAAAATTGCCATAGTAATTTATTCTCTTGAAGTTCTAGCTACCATAACATTTTTACAACAAACCTATAGTACTACATTCTTAAAGTATAGCCACAGTCAGAATGACTATGTGACAGAACTCCAGATCCACCCAACACCTTCTCTCATCAATTTACAGAACACTGCTAACGTCCCTACAGCAGCCCTCCCTACTGTTTTTCCCAGCATGCCTTTCTGCAGCTGGCCCTTTAAATTTGGAAGCCTCAAACAGCTACAGCCCTAAAGAAACCATTTTCTAGTTAGCAGCTGTATATTTTTCTGTCCCGGTCGGTAAGTACCTACTATGTTCTCCCGCCTCCTCCACTTTTTTTATACTACTGAGGAGACAGTATTTTCTCTCACTACATTGGAATGATACCTTATTACTTAATGTATCTGTTCCTGGTGCATTTTTTGAGCCCTACATAGTTGTTTTACTGGCAAAAACAAGTGTATATTGATGGTTGGCATTGTGGAACCAAAAAAAAGCTACAAGAAACACTCTTGATTCTATTCTGTCTTATGTATTATCAACAGAGGTACATGCTAAGTGCACAATCTGTATTACTGAGGATGATGTCTAGGGCATGACCCCGCTGAATTTTCAGATCCCAGGGCAAGCTTTGTAAGGCTGGAATTTAGAAAAGCGAACATACAAACGGAGTCAATCAGATCTGGAAGTTAATGACAATGGATCAATAGGAAGCCTAGATGTTCAGATGGTCCCTTCTAGCCATAAACTCTATGACTATATCCCTCCTCCATGTTATTTTCACATTCTTGGCACTTTGAGGGTCTGATCCAATTCCCAGTGAAGCCAATGAGACTCCTTTACTTCCGTGGGAGTTGGATTAGGCCTTGATGGGAGATTTAGGGTTCTTTGCCCTGCACTAGGGGACAGGGGGTAAGGATACTAGGTGGACTTGAGTGTGCTTGTATTTCTACTTAGCAGTGAGGTGAGTAAAGCATAATAATGTGTGTGCACTTCACTGTCATGTAGGGGTGAGGTGGGCACAGCCTGGGTGAGAGGGGTGCACTCTAAGTGTGCAACTCGGCCTAGGGCACAATCTGAGTGTGCAACGCCGCCTCCTGGGGGTGAGAGGGGCTCAGCCTGAGTGCCCGAGGCGCTAGGCCGCCCTCCCCTGTGCAGGCCAAGGAGCAAGGGGCGCTGCGCACCGAGGGGCCTGTCGCCTTCTGGTGGCGAGCTGGGGAGGTGCCGTTGCCGTTAACAACCCGCGACCCGTGCTCGCCCAGAAGCCAGGGCTAGCAGGGCGCGCTCTCCTCCGGCCGCCGGGGCGCGGGCCGTACCTGCTGCCTGGGCCGGGCGAGCCCGGGGTCGAGCCCGGGCCGAGCTCTCCGCGCTGCGGGAAGGAGGCGGCGGCGCACTTCCCCCACGGATCTTCGCCCCGCTGCGAGCGGGCGGGCAGGCTGGGCCCATCCACCCCTACCCGGGGCACCCGGCCTGCCACCCTCCCTGCCTCCGCGCAGCCCGGCGCGGCGAGCCGCAGAGGGGGGCTAGCCAGGGGGGAGGCGCACTGACGGCAGCGGTGTCAAGTACGGAGCGCCGGGTTACGTGCCGACGCCGGGCTGCCACGACTCGCCGTCTGCGGGGAGAGCCGAGCCGAGCGCCGGGGCTGTGCGTGCGCTGCGAGCGGCGGGCTCTGGCCGGGCCTGCTCTGCTGCTCCGCCGCAGCCAGCCGCCTTCCTGCCCCCGGCAGCTCCCGCGCGGGGCAGGTGCGCTCACCTGCCGCCGGGGCCAGCGCGCCGCAGCCCCGCGTCCCCTTCACCCGCTCCATGTGAACTTCGATCCCCGGTAAGCCTGCGCCCGCCGCCCGGAGATGTCCGCCGCTTCCCGGGGCCGCTGTAGTAGTAATCTCTGGGTCGGGTCTGACTTTGGCTGCCACTGATTTGTTCGGCTCCCTCCCTCAGCCAAGCAAACACAACCCGGGGGGGAATCGGAGATGGCACTTAGTGTATCAGACCTATTGAAAATAATGATTATTAATAATAGACTAGAATATCAACAAGGCCAGCGGGCAAATAGTCTGAAAATAAAATGAGCCCATCACCCTGACATGTTGAATGTCTGCGGGTATAAAAGTGTAAAGCCCACACAGCTGTGGATTTCCCCGGTTCCCCCCCCGGCCCCCATCTAAATCTTGCGGTGTAACTAAAGGACAGTAATTTGTTTTTCTTTAATCAGTTGCATGGCAGTCGGATGGTTCAGGATCTTATGAAGGCAAAGCCTTTTAGGAGCATCGGGCCCTGCATTTTCCTCCTCCTTCCCCCGAAAATTATAGTATTGCTTTATTGGGATGGGTGGGGGTGTCTTTTTTTGTTTGTTGTGAGGTCGTCATGTTTTAGGTGGGATTCTCCTCAGTCTCAGGAGTTTGGCTTTTAGAAATCAACTGGTTCCCCACTTCCAGGGCTTCACTGTCAGAATTTTAAATATCGAACTCAGTTCTCTCCCCCAGGCCGCCAGAGGGACGGAAGTGCCTGTTTTTTTGGGGGGATTCTGATGGTCTCAAATATCCAAGGGTGCAGAGCCTTGTGTGGGTTCACTGAGCCTATATTTTATTTTCTAGCAACCTATGGTGACTGTGGTTACTTCTCCTTATGGCTTCTTATCTTTCTCTTTATTCTTACAAACTGGGTCATTTTCAGCTCGCTCTAGAGTGCATAGCAATTGATGTATTGATTTCGGGTATGAAAAAGAGTTGCTGATGATTCTAAAGTTCACCAGGGATCAGCAAATCCTTTTAAACAACTGTAAGATCTGAAGAAGACTGTGGAGAATATAGCTGGGTGTATATCTGTCTTGTGAAAGATTCTGGTTCTACTCCATTCAGTGTACACCAGGGTTATGCTAAGAAGCAGGATTTGACTCTATTGTCTCTCAGTTTTGATGGTTTTTTTTAAGAATAAAACAAATTACTTAAGTGCTATTTTTTGAGATTCAGTTGTTCTGTATTAACGTTTATTAAAGATTTCGCTCCTGACCCATTAAGTCTACACCAAGGTAGAGCAGATATCATGAGTTGAATCCATTTGTCTCAGTTTTTAAAATCTAATTTACTATATCTGTTCTCAGTCTGGGATTCTTGTGTTCTGTGTTTTTTATCAAAATGTATTAATTAGTATTAAAGCAATTACATAAGAAAAATATTGTTAAATTGTAGCTTGCTCATTCTTTCACAGTTTACTTTTTGCGATTTTTAAATGTTACAAACAATATAATGTTAAATGATAAAATAGCTACAAGATTAATTATTAGTAAAAGCATGTCTCATGTTGAAGTAGTACAAATTAAATGCTAGAGTGTTTCTGAATTTGAATAAGGTGGATGTGACATTATTTCGTCACTGTATTCCCTCACAGAGGGACTGGTAGAAACTAGAGATAATGGAAACATTCTGGCTTTAAGCTTTCTTGAATATTCTGTAGAAGTTTCAAAGTAGGAGTTGTTGGTTTGATGTACTTATATTAAATTGTCTTTTTGACTTCAGAACTTCCATCATTTTCACATCCAGAGAGAATTGGAGTGTAAAGTTTTGCGATCTGTACTTTCAGTGAAACTTGTTCAGTTTCTCAGGGGAAAAAAACAGCCTTTAAAAGAAGTTCACCTGATCCATTCATGCAACTTCTTAACAGCAGTTGTCTTGCAAGTTAATTTTAATCAGGCTAATTAAACGAAATATATTGATTAAAAACAAAATATTACATATTTTCCCACACATGTTAATACATTTTAACGAAAACGCTTGTATTGAGCTTTTTTAAAATTTGGTGTTGGTGTTTTACTTGGACACATTTTCAATTATTTTTCGTTTTCCCTTCATTTTCTCTTCTCTAGTAATTATTGCTTACATCTAAGAATTTGTTTGGAACATACACAGATTAGTTTTTGTACTCCCTACATTTGATTTGCTGTTTAGTTGTCTCCCACAGCTGTCGTGTAAATAGGATATTTTGTACTTAAAATTTATAAATTTCGATTCGAATCTTTAACAATGGCTGCTATATCTTTCTGAAGTTTAAATAAAAAACATTTTTCGTTGCAAAAACTCGATCGACAGTCATGGAAACGGTCATTCTTTAAAAATTGTCACGATCGGAAACCTAAGGGCAAAACAGCAAACTTTAAAAATGTCACTTTGGAATTAAAATGAATCCGTTCCGTTTCTGTAGTCTGGATTCCGGTGAACTAACTTCCAACTAGTTTAGAGGGTTTAGATCGCTTTGTGATATTCCTGGTGAGATTAGTTTTAAAAGCACAAAAGATGGAAATAAAAATGGTTTCAAAAGTTCAAAATTATGTTTCTTAAAATCTGGTTGTTTAGATTGGCAGATGGATGTATTCAGTTTGTAATTCGAAGGCGCATTTAAATGTCTTGTCTAAAACCTATGAGGATAAATCTGGTTTCTAGAAGCTGGTTAGATGCTATAATTTAAGATAATTGTTCGATACAATCTTGCTTTTCCAACAGATCTAAAAACTAAAATTTTTGTTTCAAATTAGTCAAACCCTTTAAATTGACGTGGTGCTGTGCGTATCCCTTTTTCCAGGCTGTCCCCCACAGCTAACAAGCCGTAAGTACTGGTGTAGAAGTGCTTTTCGAGTGTTTCTCCTCTAATTCGGTGTGTTTATAGGAGAGTACAAGGGGAAAGACATAATTGAAACCTTGCTTTTAAAATTTGTCTCTGTAGCAGTGGATTGACCATACCTGGGGGGGGGGGGGGAAGAGAATATAACAATGGTACATTTCCTTCACAGACAAACAAAACGGGAATAGTAAAGAGAAGCTCAAATTCCGGTGTAGGTAGTGGGGTGGGCTGCAGATGCTGCACACACAGTGAGAGGGCACTGGCTGGCTATTAAGGATTCCCTTGCTAGGTTAGATCACTTACCACAGAGGAAAATATCTTTTTTATTAATTGTGCATTTCCCCTTTATCTCTTTTACCGAGCATAAATATTTGGGTTCGGATTTAGCCCTTAAAAAGCAATCTTGTTCAGGTCCTCGGTTAGAATGATGGGACGTGGCAAGCGATCCCGATCCTTGGTTTTCTCTTCTAATGCTTTCCCTTAGCAAGTGAAGTCGCTGTAGAAGTGGAGGACACCGAGGGGCGTGTGAATGCCCCACTAGGAGGAGTGTGCAGGGCGTTCCTTGGGAAGCCGACCGACTCTAGACATCCACTGGAGCTTCACCTCCTTCCGCAGACCTCTCGCCGCCTTGGGAAGAAGCTGGGGAGAGGTTTTAGAAAGCAGGGTTTGGTCTGGGTCAGGACGGCTTGTGAACACCAAGTCCTGGGGAGCTGGACTTTGGGGTTGGATCTGTCAGAGAGCTCACGGGGGTCACATCGAATAATGCCCCCCCCCCGCCAGCGCCACTCGGGTTTGACTTTTTCTCCTGCCTCCTTAGTCCCAGTCGCCACCTCCTGCCAGTGTCAGAACTAATGCCACTCTGTACGTTTCCTGCTGCCCCTGGACTCGGAATTTTCCTTCGGGTAGCCGAGCTAACACAGCTGGTCAGGCGAGAGCCTGTTCCTTCTGGGGGTGGGTGCTCTGGGAGCTACAGCAAGGGAAAGGGAGCCCCGATCGGCTTGGGAGCAGTAGCCAGACTGCCTGCCCCGCCGAGGGGCTCTGGGCGGGAGGAGGATGGGCCATGGCGATGAGGCAGTGGACCCAAGGGGAAGAGGGTGGGAGTGGGGGGAGGATGAGCCATTGGAGTAGGGGCAGCTGGTGCTGGCGAGGGGCGATCAAGGGCAGAGCAGCGGAGTAAGGAGCTTTCCCTGCGGAGCCCCCTCGGCGTGGGGCAGCCGCTCTAGCCCGCTCGAGGGCAGTGCCCGGCTCTGGGGGTGGTGCGGGGAGGGGGCTCTGGAGAAGGCGCAGTGAGCCCGGCTCTCGCCTCTACCGCGCCAGTTCCACGCAGCTGCCTTGGGTTCTTTGATACAGCGAAATGTTCCCACCCCCTCCCCGCGCCCTGCTGGGGACCCCGCTCGCCCTCACTGCAGCCAGTTTGGTCCGTCGGGTCCCAGCGGGGAGGTCCCCCGATGCCCCGCCAGCCTTGCCGGGCAGACCGGTGCGTGCGAGGGGCGGAGGGGCGCGTCGGACGGGAGTGACATCTGTGGCCGGACAGGTAAAGTCCCTACGTCCGGGCACCCCTTCCCTTGCCCGGCTGAGGGCGGCGGGAGGGCAGGGCTGCTGGGCACACCCAGCGCTTGGCAATGCAACTGGAGCTTGGCTAAAATCGGCTAAGGCCATGACTGAGGCTCTGGGTGTCCCCAGGGGCAGCGTCTCTTAGCTCCGCGAGCTCTGTTCCGAGGCCAGGGGAATCTTCCCTTCACCCCACTCGGGTCCCCTCATACCCTAGGCCAAGGACACTTTCATCCACTTTCCCGTCCTCCCAACCCCGCCGTCCAGGAAGCCCCTTCCCAGGTCGCCCTGCACACAACACTGTGCCTGCTGCGTCCTCGCCAGGCCCGCGGGCCGCTTTGCAGGGGGGAAGCGGGGTGACCTGCTAGCTCTTTTCTTTTTCAAGGGGACAGCAGCCAGACTGCCTGCTGACTTTTTCAAGTCCGTCCGTCCGTCCCCCAGCTGAGCCTCCTGGGGGGTGTTTCCAGCCTGCTGATTCCCCAGCTCGGAGTCAGCCCTAGCCAGCCTGACCAAGAGCTGCTTTTCCCTGGAAATGCCGGGCATATTTACGCGATGAATTTTCTTCCCTCCTTTGGGACCCTCCCTTCTGATTTCTCATCTATGGCTGTCTGGGGCCTGACACTGAGTCACTTCTCTCTCAAACCCCGAATAACTGCCGCTTCCAGAGCGGGGTGTCTATTCAGACCTGCCCCGGGAGCTCGGTCCCGAATCTGAAAGGAGATGAAGCTCCCAGGCGGGTTCCTTTCCCTGGATCCCTGCAGCTGTGGGGAGAAGGGGCTGGAGGAACAGTCATTTTTATAATTCAACTCAATATGTATTTAACCCTCTCCAAACAAAGGTTAGAAATGAGTTAATAGAAACCACAGCTGCAGCTCAGTTCTGATCTGTACTACTGTGCGGTTGTGTATGTGGGTGTCTGCTTTTGCAGGGGGTTAGCATGTGGTATTTAGTGTTTGGGGGGGGGGGGGTTCTGCAATGAATGGAAAAACTGGATCATCTCAAAAGGTCACAGCAGATCTAACGTGCAGCGAGAATTTAGCAATGTCTTTCCACTCTGGGCGAATGCGTTTGGTTCAATCACCGGAGTAGTATACCTTCAGAAAACACAGGGACGGTTATTTTGGTACATGATGTTATCCAGGGGACCCGTAGGGCCAGCTATTGTGCATTTTCTCGCCATGATCGTTATGCCAGGGCTTGAGTACCGTGTTGAGATACTGTGCTCTCCCCGTTATGCTAGGAATAGCCCAGCTTCTCCTGTTACCTGAGCAAACTTATCTGAAGGTAACTGTCCTCCTGGTCGTTCATTGCATTTAATAGGGCTCTGCCAACGAGTGGCATTGCCGTCATTTTTAAAGGCCGCTTTTAAAGCTCGAGGACGAGGCGGCTTGCAATGATTTATGTGGAGTTATTTTTAAAGGCAGCTTTTAAAAACTAGCGGACGAGGCGGCTTGTGGGGATTGATCTGCAGTCCCTGCCCCTTCTTTCACTTGCGCCAAAGCTCGGGGGGCGAGCTGGCCACGATCCTGCTGTATTTTGGGGAGGAATGGGGGGAGACTTTTAACTGTGTTCCCTTCTTCGGAGAAGGGGCCCGAGCTGCGTGCCCCGGGGGAGCAGGCTGGGGCTGGTGTGCACGCGCCGGGAGGGGGGCCGGCTGGGGATGCAGCGGAGCCCTGCGCGCGCGGGGGGCGGGGCCGGGGGCAGCGCGCCGTGGAGGAGGGGAGGGGTGGGGTGGGGGCCGGTCTGTCTGTCTGTCCGTCCGGCGCGGCGCTGCCTCCTGTACAGTAGGGCGCCCCGTACTGTACGCCTCTCTCTGCCGTGTTACCCGCTCTCTCCTCTCTCTCCCGCAGATCTCGCGAGAGCGGCCGGCTGGTGGCTGTGGGGGTTGCAGCAGCGGCGGCGGCGGCGGCGGGCGGAGCAGGGAAGCGGCAGGCGGAGGCGGCAGCGGACGGGCGGCCGGGCGCAGGGCGGGCAGCATCATGGCGGACAGAGACAGTGGCAGCGAGCAGGGCGGCGGCGGCGGGGGCGCGCCGGGCGCCGGGGGGTCGGGCTCCGGCGGCGGCGGGGGGCCGGGGGGCGGCCTGCAGCACGAGACCCAGGAGCTGGCCTCCAAGCGGGTGGACATCCAGAACAAGCGCTTCTACCTGGACGTGAAGCAGAACGCCAAGGGCCGCTTCCTCAAGATCGCCGAGGTGGGCGCGGGCGGCAACAAGAGCCGCCTCACGCTCTCCATGTCGGTGGCCGTGGAGTTCCGCGACTACCTGGGCGACTTCATCGAGCACTACGCGCAGCTGGGCCCCAGCCAGCCGCCCGAGCTGGCGCAGGCCGCCGACGAGCCGCGCCGGGCGCTGAAGAGCGAGTTTCTGGTGCGGGAGAACCGCAAGTACTACATGGATCTGAAGGAGAACCAGCGCGGCCGCTTCCTCCGCATCCGCCAGACCGTCAACCGGGGGCCCGGCCTGGGCTCCACGCAGGGCCAGACCATCGCGCTGCCGGCGCAGGGGCTCATCGAGTTCCGCGACGCCCTGGCCAAGCTCATCGACGACTACGGCGTGGAGGAGGAGCCGGCCGAGCTGCCCGAGGGCACCTCCTTGACTGTGGACAACAAGCGCTTCTTCTTCGACGTGGGCTCCAACAAGTACGGCGTGTTCATGCGGGTGAGCGAGGTGAAGCCCACCTACCGCAACTCCATCACCGTCCCCTACAAGGTGTGGGCCAAGTTCGGCCACACCTTCTGCAAGTACTCGGAGGAGATGAAGAAGATCCAGGAGAAGCAGCGGGACAAGCGGGCCGCCGCCGCCGTCTCTGGGCCCGAGCCGCAGGCGGAGACTGAGAGCAGCGCCGCCGCCGCCGGGCCCCCCGGAGCCCTGCTGCAGGCCGACGAGCCGGAGGAGGATTGATCCCGACTTGGCTCCTGGCTGCCTCCCTGCCTGCTGCACAGAGACACACACACACACACAGACACACACACACACACAGACAGAGACTTATACTGTAATAAAGAGAACCCCAGACACAGAACCAGAGAGAGATAAATACAAAAAAAAAAAGTAAAACCAACAAAAAACAATGTACCTGTTAATAACTCCAAGGGAGCACCACCCACTCAACCAACCTCCACAAACTGACAGCTCAGCAACTTCTCCGACTGGCCACCCATCGCTGGATGTTCCTCCACTTTATCCACCATATAAAACAGTAAGCAGCTGCTAAAAACAAACAAAAAAAAAACAAAAAAAAGTAATAACATTATATATGAACTGTGTTTCCTACTTGATTAAAAAAAAATATAAAGAACTGAGTGTTTATTTCCCTAATTAACCAAGAACTTTTGTACACGTTTAAGCTATTATTATTAAAAGTGTTTGCAAAAATGGTCAAGATTATAATAATGCTGAATTATATAAAAAAAGTCCTTTTCATGTTGAGCTAACATTTGACTTTAGCACAAAAAAAGAGATATTTTAGAACACGTAAAATAATATTTTTAGTTTTTTCTTCTCATTTTGTTACCAAATTTCAAACCTTACATGGAGGTTATTATAGTATATTTGACACCCTATATACCTGTGATTAGAGATGTGTATATATATGAGGGCTAGGCATGCTGTGTGTCTGAGCTTTGTCTAAATGTTATGCAGAAGTTTGTAGAGTTAAAAGGTACGTAGGTTTAATTCATGCAAGGTAAACAATAAGTGCTCTCTTTTATACAATATGCATTGCATCTGGACCTTAAACATATAAAATGGTCAGTGAAACTTCTGTGAACATGAAGAAAAATTATTAAAAAAGGCATTTAAATGAAATTTGCTAACTTGTGATTTTTACGTTTGAACCAAAGTTATTCAAATAGTAAAAAAAAAAAACAACAAAACAAAACAAAAAAAAAACCCAGGAAAAAAAAGTAAAGAATCTCCTCCCATAATTTTCTGCACCTGTTTGGTTTACAACTAAGTAGGCGTATTGTCATTATTGTGTATATGAGATGTACTTGTATTGTTCATAATATATTTTTTTTATTATGTGTACTTAAAGTACTTACCTAATGTGCAGCAATTTCCAGTAAACCTGTTTTTGGACAACAGGTAGTGAGTCTTTTGTGTGGTCACTGGCACTAGCACTATCTCCTAAACTTGTAAAAGGTCTGCACCTATACTTTGATTTGTGCCAGTGCTATTAACTTATGTAGGCCTGTTATAGAAATCAGTGCAACACAATTATAGAGTAATCCTACTGAGCCATGGATTTTGAGTTTCATTTAAAAGTGAAAGCCAAGATGGTGTATGTAAAGGATTTCCATGTAGCTGTGGTGCTAGTTATACTGGCTACATACATTATAAATGTAGTTGTGACCCCCAAGTGTACAAGCCTTCTATCAAAAGTATGTACTTGTGAGATATAGTAAAAGTGTAGGATATGAAAATGCAGAATTTAACAGAACACTAATTTGTCAAATTGTGTTCTCCAAATTGAAATATTTATAGTAATAGACTTTTTACAGGTTTTTCTTTTAAAAAGTTTGTGTGCTTTTAATTGACTAACTTCTTGCTGCTGTATAGTAAAATATTAATATATTTTTATCATTAAACTGCTGCATGACTATCATCATTATGAGTGAAGAGAAAATGTTATAAAAGATGCCTTAAACAGTAAATGTTCTGGTTTCAATTCTGTAGAAAACATTTAAGAAAAACAAGAATGTTGTTCAACTAAAAAGTTATTGGGATGCAATCATTTTTCTTAACATTCTTGACAAATTTAGCCGTGTAGACCTAACTGCTGTATATAGAAGACACCACCTGTTGGAACAGGAAGTTATCTCTGCTTCTCATTGATTGTAAAGGATCTAGCCTAGAAGAGGGGGGGAAAGTTTGTTTAAAGGATTTTTATTTTCTGATGGGGTTTTTTTTCCATTAAAAATATAGTTCTCTGGTTTTGGAGATGTACTGCAAGTGTCAAAACAAAGCTATTTCCATTGCACGCATTTCCCTTTAAAAAAGTTTGCTATTAGTATTCACAGAAAGTTAAATATGAGATGACAGTTCAGAAGTTAAGGATTTGTTTCTGTAATAATCACTGGAAATGATTAAATTGCTTCATTAAGGTGCACTTTTCCTGTTTCCAGATAGTAAAAATAAGCTTTCATAGTGCATAATGTGATATTTGAAATGGTTCTCAATTGCACGTAAATGTCTAATAACCTGCTTTTTTAATTGGAGGGTTTGATGAGCAGTTTCATTTATTGTAATTCAACAGTGATGTGGAAAGGACTGCATTCTCCATGCTGCTAGATGTAGTTAGGGAAGTTAATTGTTTTGGTATTGCTACTTGACTATGTCTTGGTTCTACTGTTTACTACGGTTTTAAAAGTTATACTGCAGATTGACACACATTGCTCATAGTTACAAGTGTTCTACGTTATCAGCAATAAGTAGTGTGAGTCAGTGAAAATACTGCAAAGTGTCCTTCCTTACTTTTGAGTTAATATAAGCTTTGTTAAATACACAGGCTTTTCCCCAGGGTCAACATTGACTAAAGGGAAATCTTTACCTGTAAAATTCAGATCCTACATGGTATCTGATTGGGTGAAGAAGTGCATGGGTTGTTGCAGTTCCATTCATACCATTACAGCTTAACACAGTTTAGCAAAGTGTTGTGAACAGTGTCTGAGAACTTGTGGTCAGTGTTTTATTTTTGTGTTTTGTTTTAAATTAAATCCACATCCAGATATTCTAGGAATTTATAAATGATATTGATGAAAGACTAAATGACTGTAAAGGATTTTATTTAATTTTATTGGCATCTCATTTTTTTTCCTGAGGTGCTTGGTACTTTACCAAGGTTTTTTATCTCAGTATTTAAAACAAAATACAGTTGGAAAACCCTGTTTAATGTTAGACGAATAAAGGTAATGGTATATTTGACCATATGTGTTGTTCTAAAAAAGACAGTATGCTCAAATGTGCCAAGAAATTTAATTCCTGAAAAATATGCCTTATATTTTCCTTGATATGCTTTTAAATGTCTTGTAGAAAAGGTCCAAGAGCATGATAAAACTACTTTATATGACTAACTGCAAGAAAACTTGAAATTCATTGCAATACTGACATACGTTTATTTTTAAGTTAAAGGGACACTGTCAAGTAATTTATAATTAAATATGACCTCTCTTTAAAGCGGTTATAATCTAATGGAGAATGTCCTCCAGATTCTAAGTTCATTTTTTTTTTGTTTAAAAAAAATTGCTCTGTCTCTGAGAAATTAAATAAAAAAAATTAGCCACTGTTGATTCATGCCTCTTATTTATTGTTCTGCTTGTGCTGCAAGAGGCAGCCATCCAGCCACAGGGGGAGCAAAAGCTAACTAACAAACCAGAACTGTGCGGAAATCATTGAAGCTGCCTATGACAACAAGGAAGTTTACAAGTAAAGCCAAGTTGGCTTTTGCACCCTATGAAGTGGAGGAGGGAAATTCAGTTGTCACCAAATAGAAAAATCCGGTATAGGGGTGAGGAGTGGGTGTTCTTTTCAAACTTCTCAGAGGGCATCATACACAATGGAGAGTTTTAAAAATTAAAACCTTTTATTTTAAAAAAAAATACTTGACAGTGTCACTTTTTTGAGTATCCCTTGCAGGGGTTGAAATTTACTTAGTGTAGCGTTCTTTGAGAAGTAGTTCAAAACTAGCAATTTACTAAGAACTTTTCAGACATTCTAAAGAGAGAGGCTGTCCACTTCGAATGGCTAGTGAGACGTAACAGTCATATCGGGCAAGGCAGAAAGCTGCTGGTAATTTTAACCCCTGCCTAGAGCAGACCGATAACTTCATTTGGGAGCAATTACTTTGTTGCCTTTAAAAATAGCACTGTAATCACTCTTTTTATGATTAGCTGTAGTATAACCTTTATCCCTTTCAAACTATGCAAACTATTAAATGTAAATTAGGATTCAATTAAAGATAGTTGATTATATTACAATCAGATGGCATTCGTGCACTAACTGGAGTATATACAAATAAAGCGATTAGTATGACTTTTGTATGCTAACAGCAAAATATAATATACCTACCTATTCTAAAAATATGAACGTTAATATTGTATAACGACTGCAGGGGTGGGGAGGGAATGTTACCTCTTACCTTCGTAAAAGGGGATTTAAGATTTTTATAACTGTTTTCCATAAAACTTTATTTTTGTCAAATTTTTAGGTATTTAATTTGTAAAATAGATTTTGCTTTGTACTAGCATACAGAAAATAGGGTATTGATTTAAACTTTTTGAAGCCACGTGATCAAGTAAATTTGTAATAAAAAGTCAATGGATCTATATCAGTTGTACTCACTGTTTTCATTTCTTGTACGTTCTAATGCAGTGGTGCTATACGTCTCCCAAGAAAAAAGTAAACTGAATTTGGGGAGGAATGGAGTGGGAGGAGGGGGGAAAAGGATAAATATTGACAACATAAATTGAAGTGATTTTTCATATCCAAGTAACTTTTATTGTCAGTGAAGATTTGGTAGATATGCATTTTTATCTAATGCCTAATGCATACAACTTTTTAATAATTCAAATCTGAAGTTCTTGACTATGCGTCCACCTTTACATAATCTAGTATCTGTAAATTCTCAAACTGACCCTTGGATTACTTTTTTCTGGCCTTTAAGAAGAAAAAAAACCCTTAGTTTCCTCAAAGCCTTACAAGGTTACCATGTTACATTTTTGCTCCTTTACATGTTTCTTCCCCCTTCCTCAAAGGTCAGTCTCCTCCATTTTAATTTCTCTAAGATAAACATTTTAAAGCTTTTTAAGCAAAAAATAAGCTGACCATTTTGGATTAAGGACTTCAGTGGATTCAGCAACTTTCATAAGCGCTAACTTTTTTTTTTTAAGTCCAGACTTTCCGTTTCAGGGCATATACCAAATCTGATTGACTTGTTCCTATTATTTCCAAAGCTGTCGGGGATGGAGGTGGATATCCTGACATTGATGTACAAGAATGCTAAAACAGGTTTAAACTTTATGGGAACTTACACAAAACATGAAAACTCAGAGTATAACTAGCAGTGCTGAATTTTCTGTTTTTTACCAACTCAGTTTGTAGAAAATGAGCATCTGTGTGTGATCAGCTAGTTAGAAATCGGATTGCTCATTCAGAAATCTACTCCTAATTCATGGTAGTTTTCTGAAAGGAATTTGCTGAAGTTCATTCTGGAGAGCTTCCTGCTAGTGAACACTGTCAAGATTTTTTTTTAAAATTAAAAATTGTTTTAAAAATCCATTATTATGCTAAAACATTAGCTTTTTAAAATTTTCAGATTTACTTTACCTTCACTTTTCACCTCCCATGTTAGCTGTCTACTTTTTTGCTGTTAACTCAGTTTGGATAGTTGAAAAGTCAAGGTCAGTTTTGATATCTAGACAGTTTGGAAAAAGGTTAAAGTAGTAGCAGGTTCTACCTCTGCTTCTGAGTCCCCTGCCAGTTTTTGTGCTTTAACAGCCACATTTTATTATTTTTTAAAAAAATATTCTCTTTGTACTTCATAAAGCTTTTTACTCCTCTTTACCCTCCCCCACAAAAATGGGGGAAACTGAGGATAGTGAAGTTTTGGTAGTGTAACAGTGAAACTGATTGCATGCAGAGTGCTGTCAAAATGATGTGTTGACAAAAAGGACAAACTAATCTGAGATTTTTTTCTCTAATCTTTCAGCTGTGGGAATCTTGCATGTTGCTTGTAAAATGAAAGATAACTTGAGAGAGAAACGAGATTAATGGCGTCACTTTACACTGGGTAGGTTCATTTTGGTTTCAGTCAGTTTAACACTCTGGTTCTCTACCATTGTGCAAAAAGCTTTGTGTGTGGGTTGCAAACATGGCAGGGAGGTGGCATATATATATTTTTTTTAAAAGTTCATGGAATTTTAATTTAATGAACTTCTCTAAACCTAGTAACATTAGAAATGTTGTTAGCCAAAATCTAAACTTTGGACCTAAAATGTTTGGCATTCTTTTAAAACTGAGCTCTTGTGTGTTTGGAATTACTGAGAGTAATGGTCTGAATGAAAATGAAAAATGCTTCTCTAAATTTTGGCAGCAAGGAATTTGTGTGTTGGAGTGGTGAGGCCAGGAATCGGTTCTGCATGTCTTCTCAAACAAGAGCTACTCCATCTCCTCACTCACACATTCATGCCAGATAGTTGTCTTTAGTTTGCTTTGTGTTGGTTTTTTTTAGTCTCCCTCTGCTTTTGTCTTTCGAAGTATAGTAGTTACTGTGAAAACTGTCATTTGTCTGAACAGGGTAGAGTGGCATCCATGAGGGCCAAGTAAAGTCATCTTATATAGTGGTTTGAAATGTATTCCATGATTTGTGAAATACAAAGCATGTGAGGGTTATTAGGGTCACACGTTGAGTTTATCAGTATAATGCATCTTAATAGCCCTAGATGGCATATAGGAGCGGAGTACCAAACTCTCAACTGGCTAATTGGGTAGTTCAATACACTTAAAATTGTGATTAGAGAAGTATATGGGAACTGAAGGGTAGAGCGGGGATTTATTTTCTAGTGTTGGTTTCTACACATCTAGGACATTGTGTGAAACTAAAAGAAATAAACCAAAACTGGATCCACTGGCTCAGGAAAATGAGTTGCTCTAACCAGCAAACTCGGCACAAAGAAAGTGATTTGAACTGGAAGAGGTTATGAAAAGAGAGCAAGGTGTACTAACACAAATACAAAGCCTTTCTATTAGCCCCGGGTGGACTCTGGCCTCCTTCAGGGAGAGCCCATAATTGTGGTCCGGGAACTGAGAAGGACCAGGCCCACTTTCAATAGAACCTCAGGATGGGAAGAAAATGGTCCAGCAGACCTAGATGGCTTTGAAGATGTATACTCTAAAACTGCGAGAGGGTTGTTCAAGCACCTCAGGCCTAGATTAAGAGGTAGATTTATCATCAATTAACTCTCAAACTTTTTGCCTTATAACCCGGGTAGCTCATAGGGGGCTGGATGTTTGCAGTTCTCTTACCAAGCAGGCAGCTGCATTCTGCAACAGTTCTTGGAAATATTTTCTAGAAGTGTTACCTTAGGATGGAGTAGAGGAAGTCCTTTGAGCAAAGGGAGAATGATTAATAGTTGCTGTGGCATAGTACCTGATGAGCTCTTTTGAAGTACCTTTGTCAGACAATGGGTCCCCAGACAAATACATTAGTTTATCAGTCAAAGACAAATACTGTGCTTTCTAGTGCATACTACCTCCACTTCATTTGTTCTGTGAGACTGGCATGTCTAGCACCCCAAGTTCCATGGTAGTGTAAAACCTCCACAGCAGACTGGCAGGTGAGCAGTAGTGACACAGTAAGTCCCAGATGGTGAGTGGGGAAATAGAGTCCCACTCACTGAAGTCCAGTGCTGTACAGTTCACTGGGAACAAGGTATAAACTCTGCAACCTGCAATTTCAGTAAAACCTAAAAGTGGAGTGAAGTGTTGAGAGACTAGAGCACATCAGGTCTATATCTTTAAAAATCAGTTAATATTTAATGTGCAGTATAAGTACTTGATGATGTGTAAGAGCACAAAAGGGAGATTGCTGGATTCTCCTCTGTGAAGCTTTTCTGTATATCTGATGCCAGTATGGTTGTACCTGTGTAACTGAGAGGAAAATTTGGACCTAAGAAGTTTAATGCAGAGGACAGCCTGCACTGGTAACTAGAGTTCTACTTATATTGGGGTGATTTCGTTCTCCGTGTAGATGATGTCTCTTATCAGATGCCTTGGGATTTCATGATGACCACCAGGGGACTGTTGTAGGTAGTTTCTGTATCCATGTCAATTCCTGGCCACCCTCTGTATCTTGTTTTTGAGCTTGGATTAGAGGCCTTCGGGCATGGATGTTGTACTCTGGTCTGCTCACCCACCGCTCCACCGCTGTCATCAGGCTGAAGGGCGTCCCTCTTTGGCCCAACCTCAGAGGCTAATGGCGCCTGTTTGGGGATAATACTGCTCAGCCTGCTCTTTAGCAGGTTGACTGCTCTGGTGGCCAGTTGGCTCATCATCGCTTCTGTCATTGGCTATAAGTAACCGAGGCTCCTACACAGCCTCTTCCTTAGCTTTTTCCTCATAGGACACTGTAGTGAGTGGGGAATTGGAGCTGATGATGGAAGCCATGTACTAAGCCTGACTGATTAAGGTGCAGAGTTTTTGAAATCCTATTCTGAAGCTGTGTAGGAGGGGAAAAAAGACTAATTTGCCTCTACTGTTGATCACAGAGATGCTGAGGAAGCTTTAGGCTAGAACTTGCAACTTGATATATATGCCTCTTGGCTAGTGAGAACCAATGGGATGGTGTGAAGGATGTTATAAGAGCTGATTGGCAGAGTCCGTTAGGTGACACTTCTTTTAAAGTGCCCACTGCTCTTAAGAAAATGATTAGACCCTTGCTCAAAATAAAAATCTTGATGCTGACATACTCTTCATTTTATCACTCTGTTTTGAATTTTCTGTTTTGTGGAGAAGGCTGTAGAAAGACAGCTGCAACAACACCTGGATTCCCAGGTCATCTTGACCCACACCGGTCTGGGTTAGTCCTGAAAGTGATACTGAGACTATGCCTGGGGGTTTTCCTGGTTGCTGGCCGCCTGGTGGCAGATAATCAGATGTCTTAGCTGATTTATATAGAGCTATTAGTTAACTTGGCCAGGAAGAGGTTTTGACCCTAGCAGGAGTATATGGAGTCTGTCTTGAGTGGCTCAGTTCCCTTTTTTCTGAGAGATCCCATATCACAGTCCTGGGTACTTGGTCACCTGTGCTAAGCATTCCACAGAGTTGTGTTCTGTGCTTTTGTTCAGTGTGTGTGTGGAGCTTTAAGCATGGTTTGTGAGGAAATATGGGCTATGGTGTCGTTAGTATGGGAGGGGGTGTGTGAAACCTAGTTCTGTGTTCTCATCCCACGTAATCTGGCACAATGTAGTAATTTACTCAGTGCTTAGCTGAGACTGGAGCTTGAATAAAGACTAACTGGCAGTGGGTCAGCCCATATAAGACTAAGATCATTCTTGTTGGCTGGAGTAGACAGTTTGAAGAATTGACAGGGGACTATTTCAGTTCTCATTTGGGAGGGCGTCTCTGGCTTTTGTGATCCAGGTTTGCAACTTTAGGAGTTTATTGGGTTCCCAGCTGCTTTTGGGTGATTAGGTGCCAGCAACGATCAAGAATTCTAATTTTTCAGTAGCACACAGGTAGACAGTTGTGGCTCTCTGAGATGTGTTGTCCACGTGAACCCCACTCTAGGTGTGCTGGATGTCTACCAAAGTTTGGGACCCTTTCTACCAT